CCCCAAAACCCCAAAACCCCAAAACCCCAAAACCCCTTTCTTTTTAAAATTATAAATAAATAATGGAGAAGCAGCTGAGATGTAGGAGGGTTCTTAATCATTCTTTGAGGAAGTACAGAGTTGGGGTCAAGCAGGGGAGGATTGGAGGGCTGGGGAATAGGTGAAGGAATAGCAGTAAGTGGGGATGCGTGGTTAAGGAGTGGGTGGATGGGTGGGGAAACTATGGGGTTATTAAGGGGATGAGGGAAGGTTATGGGGATTTAGAGAAAATTCTTTGTTTTTGGCTTTATTTTGAGTTTTTAGAGGGTTATAGGGGGTTTTGACTGTGTGAATGTAGTTGAAAAATAATTATCTGAGAGTTTGCTTGAAGGAATTTTATTTATTTTGGTATTGGTGTTTATTGAATCTTTAAGCTGTTTATAGTCAAATGTTAGATTGCTTATTACATAATTTCTCACTCATTTCCACCCACCAAAAAGTGCAATGAAAATATGACAAAACTATTCATCTTATGAAATAAATGTTCAATCCAGTTCATAAAATTCAAAAAACTGATTTACTTAACCATTATAGGTGGGAGATTTATGAATAGATCAGCCTTTAGATCAAAACCAGGTATTTTTCCCATGACCTTAAGGAACTGCTGGAGCAAAAACACGTACTAGAGGGCTAAACATTGAAAAATATGGAAACTCATCGAAACAAAGAACTCATAATTCTCTATTCGGGAACTCCATCATTTGCAGTCCATTTCCTAGTACAAAATAAATCTGTTCAAGGTCGTAGGATTTTATCAGGGCACTCTAAGAGACCTCGGTCCAAACGGGTAAAGACGTGTAAGGCCAAGGTCAGAAGAGGTGTTAATCAGGGCTCTCTGACAACACACCAGGCTTGTTCACAAGTGTTTGGGTCTGCCAAAATTTCTCGGGATCATTCCAGGAAATATTTAAACCTTAGCCACAGCCACCAGGCTCAGACTGCGAAGGCAGGCAAGTTTAGTAGTAAAGATAGAAATTTTGGGGTCAAACCATTTGAAAGGTAAGCAGAATTTAGACCAAGAGGTGTTCAAACTCAGGGATTAGGTGAAGAAGCCTAGTGGCTAAGTTAACTGGAGGCTTTGGAAATTTGAGGAATATATCAACTATTGTTCATAATGCCAGCATTTGGATATTTGTTGTTTTTGGTGTTGAGCTTCGTAATTTTTATTTAGAATTAGAAAAAAACAAAAAGTTTAATTCTTTCATTTAATGGTCATAATTACTAACTTTTAAATATCTCATTTGGAGATAGCTAATGAGGAAGCTCTGACTGTGTGAATGAATGACTGAAATAAGATGTGCTCTAAATTTTTAGACATGTCTTACATTTATCATTTGTATGCTAAGCTAAATAATTTGTAAACTAAGCTAGAATTTAAGCTGCAGTAAAAGGCCTACTTAAATCTTCTTAAAACAAGAGTATTACAGTGATCTATTTATGATATATACCTAGGAACGATATTCGAAATTTCTCAACAAGTCCAGCCCTTGCTTCTGAAAATTTCAGGCTCAAAAATAGACTAACAGCTCGCATTTATACCTATATACCTCTTAACTCGTAAACTATTACTTGAAAGTTTCATTATTAAAACTTGAGCCAAAGTATTCAGTATACTAAAAGACCAAAATCCTCATAACATTTTCGAAGTTAAAATTTTACCTTTTTCAAAAATTTCCTCTGCAACTCGAAGTTAGATTAGTCTGGATATTGTTCTAGGAGAGAAGTTTAGCCAAACAGGCCTACCTTGAGCTAGGAATGAAGCTTTTGAATAGTAAAATTTCATTTAAAAGGATACATGTATTTGCTGGAATAATTGTTAGGAATTTAGAGATAAAGTGGCAAGAACTTTGGAATGTAGCTGATATACAGCTAAGAAGTTATAACCTAGAATTAAAGAGAACAAGGCTGTCATATTAGTGGTGGGATTAGACATTCCTTGTAATGACACTTCGCTTAGTAAGCCTCTATTTGTTTTGATAGGTTAAAGGGCTATTTTTAGAGGATTAGGGATTTTTCTGTAGGCTTTTAGGGCCAGAGAGTAATGAATTTTTCAAGATTATAGTTAAAAAGGACAGTTAGGGGTATAGGAGTGCTTTGTGATTGAGTTTAGTTTTATTAATTTTACGATAAATTTTTGAGAAATTATTGGTGTTGGAATAGAGTCAATGAGGCCAGGAAACTCCTTTTCTTTAATTTCTAAAGTGAGTGAATTTTTACCTCTGAAGTAGGAAGTCTCCTTTAAACTTCAAAGAGGTTTATGTACCCCAAAGAAAAATCTCTAGAGCTTCACATCTGGGATAAATAAATCCCTGAAAATTTTAAAGCTATTTTTATTATATATATGAAAGAATTTGCTTACTTGAATTCTAAAAGAAAAAAGTTTTACTCCCATTTATTCTATTTCAAAATGAATGTTTGTTAAAATCTTTGAGGTACAATTAATGATTAATCAGTCAAATTGAATTCAGCAATGCACCTCATTGTTATTACTTTTTGATTAACTTCCATTATAATAAAACACCATTATTCTAAAGTCTAAGTCTATTACAGACTTTTGCCACTATGATTATTTGCATAATAAAAATGTAGAATTTCATGCAGCACAAAATTCAAGTATTTTCAATACCTCTATCCTTAGTTATTTTAGTTCAAGTCCTTCACGAAGAAGAATGCAAAAGAGGATATTAACCCAGCATAATTCAATTGAGAGCGACTTGTCCTGCTTTACAATGAAGGAAAATAATGAAACGAACCAATGAATCCAGAGATGGAAGCATTTGGAGAATAATGATAAGACAATCATCCAGAATCGCTTGGTGATGCAACAGAACTGTACTGATATGATCAGAAAGACCACTAAGCAAATCAAATAATATGACTTATAAGCTCTGCACAGTTGTAGCTGACGGGGAATATCACATGACTCTAGCTCCTAACACCCTTGAAGAGGTTGAAATTATGGAAGATACTCCTGTATACTGAAAAATGTATTGTAAAGGTTTCCCAAGCCCTGCAAAGATAGTCATCAAGTATATATCAAAAAGTGATCTTACAGTTTTTACTTCTTTTACTCGCACAATGCCAGATAAGAATCATTGCGATAGCTTGTACACAAAGCCTAATAAATTTTATATCCAAGCGAAGGACCAAAGCAGACTAGCTAACCAGCTGAGCCAGGCTCCTTTTACCAGTCCTTTAACATTGAAGTAAGGATTTGGATTATTTTCTAGAAATTTCCCAAACGAGTTTATATATCTGTCACTCTACTCTTTAAAAGGTTGAACAGTGAAAATATCAATGAGCTTTCCTGATCACAACCCAGCAAGAAGGCTTTCCCTGGCAACTGGAGGGCAAGATGAAAACTATAGTGAAAACGAAGCAGAAGTAAAAGAAAGAGAAAAGCAAGAAAGGATAATGAGCCAACTTAAAAAATAGAGTTATCGAAGAGCCTGTTGGAGACCATCTTATACAGAAGAATAAAGATCATGCCAAATTCTGGCCTCAAATTAAGAGCAGGAGTATTCGTGAAAGGAAGAGTACATTTACAGGTAAGTAAAGGCTCGCTTCAACTTCCTTAATCTGCTCTTAAATTTCAAATTTTAAACTGTCAATTTAGAAAGAGCAAGAAGATATAACCAGCAAAAATAAAATGCTAATAAAAGAGCATATGGAGAAGAGCAAAATATACCTTCAGCGCTGGGAAGTCATGAAGCAAAAGCAGAAAGAACAACAGAGAGTCATGAGAAAAATTGAAAATCAGAATCAGTTTAAGAAGATCTGGATTGTTTTTGTGCAGCAACACAAAGCTGTTAAGCTTATGTTTGATGAACTCTTCCGGTTATAAAAGAGCAAAGGATTATTGAAAAGAAGAAATATTTTTATGGCACTAAACTATACATAAAAATACAAAATTCTCTTGCTAAACAAAGTATTTATTCAGATCAGAGGATGCTATATCAGGCTATTTATAGTATGGACTTCTTCGCTCAGGCTAATCTCAATATAATACAGGCAAGAGCAAAGAGGGTATTTAAGGACTTTATTTTGTCTTCTTCAAATCATTTACATGTGAAATCAAAATTCTTGCATTTTAGTAAAACTATTTCATCCCTCCAGAGTCGGTGGCTAAAAATAAAGGAGAAATAAAAAGGACAGAATGAAGCTCTTGCTCTTCAAGTACGAGTTAGAGTTAGAGAACATGATAGATTATTGCAATGAGTCCAAGAGTAAGAAGAGTAGGGCCCTTCTTAGAAAATTGGAGAACATCAAGCCTGAAGTTAAGCAAAATATGTTGGAACTATATTACACAAAAGTCCGAACTCTTTATGCAGCAAGGTTTTATGAGTGGAGAAAGTTCCAACTTGCCAAGAAAGATGTAAGGGTTAAATTTTAGCTTATAGCTGCCCTTTGAAAATACACAGAAGATGGAGAAGAAAATTGAACAAGTGAAGAAGATCCATTCTTATATTTATGAAGGAATAGACCCCTCTGTATTGATTAGTAGTAAACGGCTCCATCTCAACCAACGTAAGATTTTAGGTTATGTTTTTAGCCTGAGATGATGGAGAAATGAGCGTAAAGAAAAAGAAGCCAAAAACTTTTAAATCTATGATTAAGAAGAGTATGGGTAAGCTAGTTTGGAAATTAGGTGGTTTTAATATAAATGTAGGTAGTTTCCAGTATAAGAGAGATCAAGATATTATCCTTAATCTTCCGACACCTCCATTTTTCTTATATATACCACAAACACAAGAGATGCAGTTGCTGATTAAAAAATGCTGAATGGTCAAATCTGTGGATGATATCGAAGATTTATAACTTATTTAAAGAGAAAAAGCAATAGATAATTGCCCATCTTCGCAACTAAACTATAATCTTACTCTCATATTTTGGTGGACCAGTTTAGAAAGTAAATACTAAGAATCAACTGGGTATAAAATTCTAGGGGTTTTGGGGTTTTGGGGTTTTGGGGTTTTGGGG